TAGACGGTGCATGTTTTTGACATTAGCATTTTATTTGGATGACTAATCTTGCAGATGTGAAATTTAAATGAATTATTCATGAAATTGCTTTCCTCGGAAATTTTAGTTTGCTCTTAATGCTAGTTATTCAATATTTTGTTTTTTCTATATAAAATATGATGGGAAAAAAAATCAGTGTGCTTCCTGGAGAGAACAGGTAACCTCCCCTTTTCTGTGTTTTTTTCCCCCTAATTCTCTAAGTGGAGATTTTCACTTTGAAATCCTGAGGGATGAGAGCTTCAGCCCTCTGTGATGATGAAAGCTTTTAGTTAAGATTGATTTTAATTCTGGGCTGGAAGCAGCTGGTGCTAAACCTAAGGCATATGCCGAACATACACTCTCAGCAGGTCAGAAGGGGAAAGAAACTTAGGCGGTGGCGACTTTGACTACCAGTGTGAACAACCAGCATTTTTATTGCATTTGAGAATGCGATCATGTCAGTAATTAGTACTGACTACACAACATTTTTTTTTTATTGTCTGTATCCACAGACACGGAATGATGGAATTACAGTTGATGTCAAGGAATGAGTTCCTTTTATGCCTTATCAAAACAGAACAAAAAGAAAAAAAATTCTTGTTACTGGCAGCACATCTCCATGGAGCACCACGCTCACAGTCCGGGCTGTACCATCTCCACGCAGGCTTCTGGGTAGTGCACGTCGTGAGAACTACACGGGGCCCACATGGATGCCTTTGGAATTGTTAAGTCTCATTCTCGGGAGAGAAAAGCCAAACCGACTCTCAGAAACATCCGGAATATCCAGAGGGTCTACCGTTAAGCAAAAGGTCCCCCAAAGATTCAGAATCCTGACAAACATGTTCTTCTTTGTACCCTTGGAAACGGAGATCAAGCTGGAATGTGGAAAGGAGAGGAAATCTTTTAACTTTTTTCCCCCCATGATAAAATTGCTTATGACGGACATTGCATCTCGGGTGAAGAATCCAAGGTGTCTTTACCAGGTCTGATGGAACGCTGGGAATCAGGTCGGAGCTGTCCAAAGGTGGCGGGGCTGGCGGTCACTCTTCCCATTCATAAGCCTTGGTATTTCCTTTCACTGCTGGTACACTGCAGGCAGCGCTAACTTGTCTCACAAGGACAGACTAGGGACAATAGGATGGATCCTCATTCCTGACGGTGCATCTGTCTGATGCGAGGGACTGTTCTCCCTAAGGTACGCTTTTCTTTGGAAAAAAAAAAAGTAACAAAATTGTCTGTACATCTTGGCACCTTGTAAAGTTTTCTTTTTTTTTTTTTTAATACAAAAAGTTCAATAGCTTTGACACTCTCATGATTAATCACTACTTCACTGATAAACTTTGAAAGTGTGACCCTGGAATTTCATCATGCAAAGTATTTACTGCAGCAGGAGAAAACACTTTTTAAAACAACATTTTTTTTTCTCTTTTCAAATGTATGAACTCATTTAGATAGCCAGGAGGGCAATGGCAGGATAAACACAAGGGATAGGAATGTATCAAAAAACAGATTAACACACACCGCTCGCACACACACCAAAAAAACCTGTACAAGATGCTCTGATCAATGAGAACAGGGGAAAAAAAAAAAATCTGTCAACTATGTTACAATTTAAAAGCCAAAAAAAAAAAAAAAAAAACAGTTTGGGAGTTTCTCCCTCCCACATGTCAGGAAATGTCATCCGATATTCTTAAAGCAAGAATAACTAAATAAAATACATGTGCAGCATATTCTGCAATTCCATTACATACAGTAGTTTTTTTCCAAAGCTTTTTTTTTAAAGTATTGTTAATATAAAGCAGTTGCACAAAAAGCAAAGGTGTTTTGACAAACAGGTGTATGCATTTATTCCTTTTTAGGAACAGTATCTAAAAAAAGAACCACCCTCCGCCCTCCCCCAAAAAAGACAAAGAGTCACACAGACACATCGGGATATATGTACAACATAATAAACCCCATCCTAAAGAAGCAACTGGGATTACCCCCAAGGGATACAGAATCAGAATTGGAAACATCAGAGTGAAGTTTGCTTGCTGTAAAGCCTGAGATTCTTTTTTTTTTTTTTCAGTTGGTTCTTCTGCAAGGCTGTGATACCTGCAAAGATATGTAAAATCTAATCTTTCTTTTTTTTCTTTTTGCTACAGTCTTTAGACTAAGCATGCAAGACATACGACTAAGTGCAACTGAGTGAAATGTATTTTTTTTTTAATTTTAATCATTCCCTAAAGGTTTGAACTGAGGTATGCGCACTAACAGTTTCTCATGCTGTTAACTTTACTCATGTCTAGCTACACATGCTGAGAATGAACTAATCTACCAGATTTTTATCCTCTTTTGAATACCGAACTAACCAGCAACCACTCAGTTTAGAAGCGCAGGGCCCCCTTCCCATGACCCTGTCTGGCTACTGCCTGCACATCATGACGCTGCCTGGAAAAGTTGGGGAAATGTAAGTCTCGAGTGACCACAGACTGCCCTTTATAGAGAAAGCAGTGTGAAGCTTCAAAAGTAACTGCCAAAGAAGTTTTTCTACCAAGCTTGTGAGTGGACAGGAATGTTACTTTTTTTTTTTCTTTTTAATGAAAAATGCTGAGGCAAGCCTAATCTGAAAGAAAGGAAGGAAAAAAAGAAAACCTTTAAAAAAAAATAAAACAAAAACCTGGAGGATATATATGACAAGAGAAACTAAAATGAACGCAGTGATCATAGCACAGTCCTTAAACAAAAGTGGCATATAATCTTTCTTTGAAAAGAAATGTCTTCTAGAAATACTATTACACAGTCTAGTTCAATTGTGGAAGCTTTTCTGTTCTCTCTGAATTTTACCTTCATTTTACCATAACTGTCTCCTGGACTGGACACCCCCTAAGTTTCATATGCCATACACTGTGGTTTTTTTTTTTTCTTTCTTGGAGATGGTACATCCTTAATACTGTATCCTATTTCTCCCTTCAGTAGCCCTGTAATTTCTCTTTACAGGAATGAGTTTTGGTCTCGGTAGGAAGAAAACAAACAAAAAATGACTAAAAAAAAAAAAAAGTAACTACTTTGGTTCCATTACCTACTTGGTCTCCTAAATGTCCTCTATGATGAAGGAGCAGTTGCCTCAAGTTAGCAATAGCCTATATCTCATCAATTGCCTCTAAATTATTTTGCCTCCTTTGATCAACAAGAAGAGGATATTTGGCTTCATCAGATAAAGCATAAAAACAGAGAACATAATTTAACTTTGTGGAATATCTTTGGTAATTTTAGGGGAAAAAAGGTACAAAGCATATAAATTAAGCTCTCCAAACGGCTCTTGAACTAAAACAAGAGCGACAGTCCTAGATAAATAAATGACAGGAAAGGAGGTGCAAGTGGAAGCATTGAGGGATTCCAAGGACTGAGGCTGTACTGACCTCTGAGCACCACGGCCTGCACGTGCGGTGTGTTTCCCCAGGAGCCCAGGCCGGGCTGAGCCCGCATCTACCTGGTGTCTCGCGCTGCTGGCGGCCGAGACTGGACCGGAGGGTGAGGCCGCCTCACACACTGCACTGCAGCACCAGGTCCGCCGAGTGGAAATTAACTCCTCAGCTTCTGCTGAGCCCAGTCCTCATTAACTCACAGGACAAGCTCAAATGGAAATCTGATTCGCATTCAAGCAGATGAATGCCACCAAGCAGGTCTGAATGGACGTTTCCATTGGGGGCCACCGGCACTTTCAGCAGAGTTGCTCCGGGAAGCCAGCTTTGGGGCCATTTTGCAAACAAAGCAACTCACGCTGGGTTTAACAACTGTGAGAGCCTGAGGCCCATCTCAACCAGGTCGTTCCAGGGAGAGCCTTCTCCGGTCGCGCACGCTGTCAGTGTGGTTTTTTTTTTGGTTTGGGGGAAGAGGGGCTGCTGCCTATTTCTCCTTGTGCTGGTAACTGCTGTGGCATTTATTAAGCATGACGGTAGATACAATATTTTTAAAAAAAAAGGAAAATCTGAAACAACCCCCTTCCCACTTTCCAATACTGCTTTGTGAAATGAATCTGCATGGTTCCTAGGGTGTCTCTAATTTTTTTTTTTCTGTCATTCATTCTCTTTCTGGCAGGAACTTCACGTCTGAGTGAGAGGACCTTCACATGTAGAGTGCAGCATTTGGGACCTTTTTGCAAAAGACCAAAACGGAATGTTTTCTGACTTTTGAGAAAACAGTGGTGATGTCTGAAGGGAAATGGAATGAGTGACAGAAAACTACGAACGAGAAATGACATTCAGCTTTGTATAATAAAAACACCTATTAACATTCATCACAAGGTACAGAAAACTTGAAGCCTCCAAGAGGCCGCGGGCCCAATGGAGGCCTGAGGTCAGAACTTAAAATGGTATAGGAGAAGCCAAAAAAAAAAAAAAAAAAGGCAATACATTAAAAAGTTTGGGATAATTATTTTTAAACCCTCCCCCCAATACACACACAAAGGCCTTCCCCATCCCAACTGGAAGCAAAAAAAAAAAAAAAAAATGGAGTAAAGGCAGTGATAATCAACATGCAGTACTGTGCAAATAGGTCGTCCATTGGAATCCTTAGATTCTGGGCAGAGGCTTGGTCTGCAGCTCAGGCGCACATGCTCAGTTGGGTGTCCTCGTTGTGCAACGTCGGAAGGACTGCAGTTCAAAGTCTGCTGCTAAAAGTGAATCAGTTTAGCGAATTTACAACACTGATGTTGACTGTTAAGAGAGGAAAATCCCCAGTACCAAACAAGTCCATCCAATGCACAGAGTACAAATTCCTTTTTTCAACAAAAAGTAGAAAAATCAAAAATACTCCCAAATGGGATTCTTGATGGCACTAAGAGTTAACACATTGCAGAGTTGTCAAAATGTAGTGAAAAATCCTCCAGACTGTACAACCAATGGAGAACGATTTCACTGCCACCTTTTGACATGTTTTGTTTTGTGTGTGTGTTTTCTCTCCCCAATCTTCACACCCTTGGGGTCGGCCTGCCCAGATGTTCACTCCATGTCCTCATTTACAGGCTCATCTTCGTAATCTCTGTCGTGGTCAAAATCTGGACTGTGGTTGGCTGTTGTCACTAGGGAGAGCGGCCCTTCAGCTTCCTCGGGGTCCAGGGGCTCTTCTTTGACGTGTACAGGATGCCTGGAAAAGCACGAGAAGGTTCACTGAGGGGACTTCCCAACTCAGGGTAAGTTGGGTGTTCTGGGTAACACGGAAGCCACAGGCTAGGGCTCTGACGTTCTATAGAGTGGCCACTAACCCCGTGTGACTGTGAAAATTAAGACAGTTGAAAATTGTGCTTCTCAGTTGCACTGGCTACATTTTAAGTGCTCCAGGGCCGCCGTGTAGGCTACTGACTACCATACTGGACGGCACGGAGGGAGATTCCCATCAGCCCAGAAGGATCCCTGGATGGCAGCATCAGTGGGGTCCTCCCACGGGGTTTCTAACAGTGCGGTGTGCACGTGTGTCAACATGGGCTCTGGTTAAAATGCAGCCTGGGACTTTCCATCTCTGACCAGCGCCCCACTGATGCTGCTAGTCCAAGGACACACTTTGGGTAGCAGCTGACAGGCCCTGGAGTGGCCTCCTGCACAGACGAAAACACACCTTGAAATAATCCCCTGAACCAAGAACCGGTAACGCAAGAGGAGTTTCTGGGGACCAAAAACTGAGGCTGGGCTAATCGCAGCTCGCTGTGTGTTCTGCTTTGCTAGTTAACATGCAGAACCTGTAAAAGAACTCTCCGGAGACCGACCCCAAGCGAGGGTCTATCATTAATCAACTTCAAGCAAACACAGCAAAGAGACACCATGATACATGCTGGAAACTCCAAATTAATGCATATTTTTACAAACTGTCAATAAGGCAAGAAAAGCCCTGCCAGGAAACAGGGACGGAGAGGAAAAGGTGTGCTCGACACAACAATATGATAAGAAAGCAGAGCCCTGGTCAGAATAATAACGCTGTCAGCTGTAAACAAGACTAAACAAGAGGCCCGGCTGGTAGCGGCCACCGGGACGCGCCGGGCTCTGATGAGATCTGCCAACGCGCTCATTACAGCCCAACGCACAGTTCACCCGAAGGGGCCGGCGGGGGACCACACGAAACCACTCCGATAACAACTGAGAGATGTTGTTCGTAAATCATATTTACAACTGATCCTTTTGCAAATACAAATTACTTTCGGTTGTGGGGCTTTTGATATGTAAAAGAGCCATTCAAGTTATAAAACCGGGTCCCCATTCAAGTTTTAAAAGAAAAAAAAAGATCCCATTGCAGGGACAGGCTACCAGGGGTGGATTTTTTCGTTCGATTTTATCAAGTATTAGTAATAAGAGGTGGTGCTGGGGACTGCTGCCTCCCTAAATAATTGATGCTGTGTGCAAACCCTGAAGGCCACTTGAACCTTGAAAAACCAACAGAGGAGTGCTCCGGACTGCCCTTGCCACGGGGACCTCCAGAAGCCCAACTGACTCTCAATTAGCAAGGCCTAGAGAGTGTTTGGAGGTGGATGTTGGGAAAAATAGCTTTTAAAAAACAGAGCCCGTGTTCTTACAAACTATGTGCAAAATGAAATATGCCCAGGTTGTATTAGAGTATGTCTCACTAGTTTGGCTCCGTATATTCTTAATTTGTTAATGGTCCTATTTATTTGTTTTCAGAGTCAAGATCCAGGACCAGATGCGTAATTTGCAGAGCCCAGTGCGAAGTGAAAATGCATTTGAAAAATTCACTGAGACTTTCCAGATGGAAATCGCTGAGCATTAAAACCTTCCAGCGTGGGATCCCTGTGAGACTGTGTCCATCACATGCCTGGAAGGCAGCCCTGACAGGCCCCTCCCCTATATTCTTTCGGGAAGAATTGGGTGCGTGGATTTTTATTCCCTTTTAAAAAAATCACCCATAAACCCTAGTTAAGGGAGGATATTTTGTTTTGTCTATCCTCTCCCATTTGAGGTCATGTCTTCACATATTGCAAACATAACAGGAACGTTATTTTGCTACCTTTACAGTTTTAATTTTTATGACTATATGAGATTCCACTGCGCTGACTGACAGGTTAGCCCCTTCATACTGGATGTTTGGGGACTGTCTTTTTCTCGCCTCTGTACCCTTCAACCCCGCTGTGCTCTTTGTTGTAAAAGTGACCACTTCTATCCATACTTCTGTTGATTTATCAGCTTAGGATAAATGTCTGAGAATGAAACTGTTGGAGCAGAGGCTAAAACATCTTATGGTTCTTATGATTTATTGCAATGTTAATTTCCAGAGAAGCTCTATCAATTTAGACTCAACCTCATCAGCCCCAAGTGTTCCTTTTCAAATATGGTGTGTTGCTGAGCAGGTATAGGGGAAGTTCCGGTTACCTTCAACTGCGTTTCTTGGGTGACTGACAATGGTGAACGTCACTTTATGTTTGGGCTTCATATTAGCACTATTGGAACTGTTACTTCACCCCCTCCTGTCCTCTGGTAGCATGGTTCTAGTAACAGTTTGGACAAGAGTGTTTTAGGGTTGTGTGTTGCCTGAACTGTGAGTCAGCTGTGTTTCCCATTTTCCTATTTTCATTTTTTTCCACAGTACCAGATATATTCATCTTTTCAGGTTTATAAAGCTCAATCTGATGACAGAAATGATACAAGGCTATGGGTGGGAGACCCTATGAACAACTGGAGAGTCTTTGGAGAGTCTTAATGAAGCTCTTGCTTTATAATTTGAGACTCTGACAAATGTTTGGCTAGGCCAAAAAAAAAAAAAAAAATCAGGTATGTGTCACTTCCCCCGACCCCAACCCCAACAAGGTAGAGTTCGCATGGTATTTGGTTCCCCCCTGAAACCTGCAGGCAAACTTCAGTGAGATTATTTTCCATCCCAAAGACAGAGGTGACGACCCTGTGCACCCTGGTTCAAACCCAGCACCTACTATCGAGTGGAGCCCCAGCAAAGGTGAACCGATCAGATCTATGGTGTGACAACCTGCCAACACAACCAGGAGAGATGTTAAGGCTTCTTAGAACTCCAGGGAAATGAGATCCACTTCACGACACTCCGTGAAACCAGCAAACACCCCGAGTGGGGCCACTGCAGGAACATGGGCAAGTAGGGTTTTAGAGACTGAGAAAGAGCGGCTTTGCATGCAAGATCCACTTGCAGTAAGCTGCAAAGTCCTTAAGACACTGTGCTTCACAGTCACCCCCCTGCACCCTGGGAATCGGGGCTGCGCGTGGTGCCCTCTACGCTCACTAGTCACCTCCTCCCTTCTCTCTGACTCCTGCTTCCGAAAGGGCGTGCAGTGACTGACTGTGCCAAACCCCACATTCTCCTTCTTAGATCTAACTGCTTTCTTTAGCCACTGTGGGAACAGTAGGGTTTTTAAAGTGAGCTGACTGCTGTCTAAAGGCACTGTGTTCAGAGAGTGTGGGGACAGCATGGAGTATGTGCTTTGTATGATAGCTCCTTTAGCTCCTCCCAGGACAAACGTATAATACTCCAAAGCCATACTTACGGGACTACTTTGTAGTGTTCCGAGAGAGAAAAAATGTAGTGGTATTTGAGCGTCACAGGAAAGGTAAGAAAGAAGAATTCTATGTCACCACTAGATAGCAGCTGGGCTGTTACTAACAGTATCCTTTAAGCCTTGCTGTAAAGTTTACGATTTGAGTTATTCCAATAGAATAGAAAGGTTAGGAGACAGTCTGCATCATAGCGGGTAATGCATGTTGGATAAGAATTAAAACTGCATTATAGAATTTGCTTAATGGAAATGTGAGATGAAAAAGGGTAACCATCTCCAGCACTGAGAGTAGGCACAGGAAATGGGCTGATGACATATAATTCTTTTTAGCAAAATAATTTATTGTACTGTACACCTGTGAGATTTGAGCAACAAACAGTATGCTTTTTGACATCTTTATACAGGGTTTTTTTAAAAAAAACAAACCATCAGTAAAACCTTCACTTTGTTAAATTAACCTGAGAGCTGCGAAACAAGATTTCTGGTTATATTGGGGTTAACTCAAAGTCTGCATAAATTAACTTTACAGTGACTATCTCATACAGAAAAATTAGCATCACTCAACACTGCTGTGTGAGTTTTTATCCAAATATCTTTCCTTTATTTTTTTGTGTGTGACTTTTTTCTTTTATTATAAACACAGGAACACACGCCAACGAAACCTTGGAGTTCTGTGGGCACTACGAAAAACTCTCTCTTCCACTCAGTAGCTTCAGATGTTTTCGCTCCATAGTAAGTATTTCCTGAAGGAGCATACATAACAATTTATATTTGCCCTGAACTTCCTTAATATCTTAGTAAATACTCCTGTCATGACAATGATTTAAAGATGAATGCGGGTGTGATAATAAAGTCAGAAACACCAGGTTGCTAGAGAAGGATGATATATGGCAGTGGCAGCGGGAGAGATAAACACGTTCTTAAAATGTTGTGGAGGAAATGCTAAGGGACTGTTATGAATTTAAAAAGACTATTTTCATCTTTAAAGATCCTTTTCAAAGCACTTTGGGCATGAAATTCAAATGCTAAATAATCAAATTTCAGATTCCTCCAAAGCCACCAATTACCCACACTGGCAGACAGCATTTTGCCTTTGTTGTGAGATGCCAATTCATTCTGTTGCTAATTGCTACAGGTCATATTTTCCATTCTGATCACTCAAATGCTCTTAAACTAAGATGTTGGTCAGTAATTCAGAAGCATTGTGTAGACAAGGGGTCTATTTCTAGGGGCCGACAGCATGGTAAACGCTGCATTGGTTTACTCCTGTAAAGCGGGCGTTGGTTTTACAGACACTCGCTAAGCTAAGAGGGAGAAGCATCCCTGGTGAGTCCTACGTGGGAAAATGGGGTTTCTTTTCTCTCTGAAACTTCTTGCAAGAGAGGGAGCTGTGTCACCCTTCCTGCCTCCCATTGCCCACTCCCAGGGGCATCTCACACACACGCAGGACGGACAGCCCTCACCCGGCACTCCGCACGGTTCTGGGCGTGCTCATTATACTGCCGTCTGCTGCTATAATGCCCCTATTAATTTTCCTTTTGATATTTTAAGAGCAATCTATAAATCATGCCGTCTTTCCTTCGTGCCATCATTAATGCTTGGTAATAGCACTTCAGCGTGGCGTGCGCGGCTCCCCATTATCCCACAACCAAGTAAACAAGCATCCTTTCCCGCCCTGCTGGGTTCAGCGCGCCGGCATGTTGAACAGACAGCGAACTCTGCCCCAGGATGCATACTGCCTCTAGGAGGAAAAGGTAAGGTGGCTGAAATAATGGCCCGAGCTGACCGAGCAAGGGCAAAGAGCGCAGGCATCATCCCCTTTGCAGCTCTGGGCATTTGCGGGGCTGCAGGAAGCCCACTGCCTTTATGGGTCAGATATAAGTAAGTGGTCCTTTTAGCTGCGAACGAGTTAAACATTTCTGGAAGCACCCACTTCTACCTGGTTCTAGGAAGTCAGAAATGACAGAAAAGCCGGGGGATCTGATAGCGGAGGTGCTGCAGTGGCCGGTACTCACACAGCTTGCAGAGGGGATCGGCCCGGACTGCTGTCGCTCTCGTTGCTGTTGGCGTGCTCCATCGCCCCATTCAGCTCTTCCCGGATCGCGCTGGCCAGGTTGCCCAGAGTGGGGTTTCCCATGGAAGCGGTAGTGTATAGAGGTATACTGTTCTCAGCCATCGAAGCCTGCCATCAACCCAAAGAAAATGTATGAAGACACGGGGTGTACACAGACAGGGAGGCTATCAATTACAGGCGGGTTCGATGGTCTTCAGTTTCGATTCATTCTGGTATAGTTGGCAAAGACAAGTGTCTAATAGGTCTAGAAGGGCTGTGCTTTAAGGGTCAAGCTGATGATGACACATGTCCCAAGCTGGGTTCCAAAGAGCTATAGCTGGAGGGACCGAGGTGCCTGTGAGGTGGAGGCACAAGCTTTAGACAAGGCTATCTCATAACGAGTTTTCTGTCTGAAGCCTTTTTTCAAGAGGAACTGAATATTTCCAGATCACAGGGAAATGTAATGGAATTTTCATTTCTTTATCCACTTCGATGACTCCACTATTGGATATTAAAGATTTGATCAGATTATTCTGGCCGCAGAGCCCAAACTTATGAGAACTCCCATAAACATTTACGTCTCAGATCCTATAGAAAAGGGAGAGATTATAGAATTGGAATCAATTTTTATCTCCCCTCCCCATCATTTCTGTCTTAATGATTTTTGAATCTTTTTAGTGTACTCAGAGATAACTGGTTGAAGGTAACTCTATGCAATCTTTCAGGTTCCAACCAATCATCTGGAATTTGAGGACCAAGGAAAAAAGAAATCTCTGGCAAAAGGAAGCTGTAAATCACATTTCTTTGGGGGTACGTAAGTACATCCATATCAAAGGTGACAAAGTCACTCTAAGTTGAGTGTCAGCGAAAAAGTGTGGAAATGGAGAGAAAAAGAAAGATATCCTAAACCCTATGGTCGGATATACGGTTCATTTCCTATCTTACTGCACTTGAATAAAACGACCACCCAGTCTGAGAAGCAGACAACAGTCAGACCTCTCACTGGCCTGAAGTGTCCATACTGTTTCATTTGGGTCATGATTCTGACCTAGTAACATTGCATTTTATTAAAGAGGGCAGACATTCAAAAACTGGCAGCTGTAATTAGACCAAGATTTATCAAACTTGTTCTCTTGCAGACTACACTCGGCCTGGTTTTCCATCCTAATGAGGTAAAAGTACAATCACAAGACAATCTGGCACAGTGACTCCAACTGGCCAGTGATATGAGAGTCCAAACGATTCTAGAAAACCTGGCCCTCGAGACCAAGTAAAAGCCAAAAGTGAAGAGAGAACAGGTGCAGAGCTGGGCTGTAGGGAATCTGCATGTTAAAAAAATCACAGTCTTGCTCACTGTACAAGGTCCAAAGCCAGAAACACCTTCGAGTTCTAAGTGCAGGGATGGACGACCTGCCCACACCTAACAGCACTGGCTAAGGGAAGACTTCAAAGCCAGGCCCACTGCAAGCCCACGGCTTTGCCTTCCCTCCACTTCTGAATTTATGTAACTGGCTTCTTCTAAAAAGTGATGGGGGGGTAAAGAATCCCATTTTCATTTCCAAATGTGGTGAACTCATCTTGACGAACAGCACATCTGAACATTCCTCACTCTCCTACAGTTTGTCAAATAATTTGCATCAAGTACTTTTTTCCAAGAGATCTCTTGTAATTGCAATAAAACATTTTTTCTTTTTTTGGCAGAGTGAAAAGTCAGACCCGTTGCCTGATCCGCCCCGCACCAAACTGCAGCTGCACACACACACTGGCTGCCTTTCCTTTAGACAACACAGTGGCCCTGTGTCTCCCTGACACGGACGTTCTCTGGGACCATCAGTGAGTCTCTTTCGCTTTCACAGCTAGAAGGCGGCAAGAGAGGGGCCACGCTCTAGTTTGGTATTTTTTTCTTGCAGCTTCTCCAGTCAAAGATGGAGAAGTACATACAACACTGAAATGTTCCCAAGAATGTATGCTTTGGGATGAGCTGGACAGGGCAACCTTTTCAGGATGATTCATTCTCTGTGGCTCTCAGTATGTTCTGGGTCAAGGCCATTTCTGATGGGAACTGGATCATAAAACACAGGCTGACACTGGTGAAAGGCATCCAAAGGTAAGCGCTTACACCGATCCCTTGATTCTCAGACAAAAAAGACATAAATGAAGAAAACCAGTGGGCTCCTCTTTTGAAAAAATGACGACGTGGGCTGCAGTGAGAAACCCGGTCGCTCCTACACAGACAGCTTCTTGGACATTCTCTGTGTGAGTGACCAAAGCCACCTACCCGAGCTTAGAAAACTTCCCACCAACGGCTTAGGTCTAACGTAGTGGCTCTTTTTGTACTTGATGTCTATACTGGAGCAAGGGGTTACAGATTTTATAAAGGACTGGTCCAATGCAGAGTATGTGGCTTCACATCACACTGGCCTCTCTACTCCCCAAAAACGAAGGTGCCTAAGTCCTGTCCCTCCTGGAGCCTTAACTGCGCTGAGATCCCGGCGGGGAGAGGCAGTCTATAAATATGAAGCGTTACGGTTACCCTTAGTTACTTCACTTTTTCAGAGCATAATGCAATCTGTCCCGAGTCCAATGTTTTATTTCTGTAGTGGATTCTGCTGTCCTATTTTATATATTGTATATCACGCGTTATGTTGCTCTAGTAATCTTTTGAAGATGTTGTTCCACTATTATTTTTACTTGCCTTGAAAAAAATGGAAGTGGGCAGGAAGGGGAGGCCTGCTGGCAGACTCTTTATTTAAGGTGCACAGTGGAAAGTTGTCTACTGACCAAGGACCCAAACTCCTGGAGGAGAGGAAGAAGAGCCAGTCCTCAAATCATGACCTGAGACCCAGGTATTCACCTCACCTCATGACAGGTACAAAGGATTCTTGGAAAAATGGTGGGAGAGTATGGGGCTATCACTGAAAGTAAGAAAGCATCCTAGTGATAATTAGTCACAAAGTTAAGAGAATCCAGAGGCTGGAGGATCACTGCTGCTGGTGGGCTGGGTTTTTATTTTTTTTGCCTGGCAGCCTCATGAATGTCAAATGTGCTTGTAATCTGAATACCATTCCAGATAGAGCAGCCTTTAAATTCACACTTCATAAGACTCCAGGGAAAATAAGCTACTAATGAATGGTATTTACAGTGGCGGCATCTAAGCGTGCGTTCATTTGCTTTTCTAAAGTTACTGTGTAAACTACAAGTAATTAAAAGAAACATAGAAAGTAGTTCCTCCTATTAAATTTGGTTTGGGCTCTGTGTGTGTGTGTGTGTATATATATATATATATATATATATAATTACTGAAAAGCTAAGCCGAGTGAATTTGCCTCTGAACTCAAAAGTGTGTTAAGGCTGTGTAAACAGTTCTCTAGGACACAGGGCAGGTGCTCAGTGAGAATAGGAAGATTATTCTATCCCCTCTTCACCCAACTCCATTCCCCTTGATGCCGAGTGTCTCCATCGTGTTTGCATCATCATCATCCCCTGAAGCAGCCTTTTTAAGACGTTAGCTTCTCGGTTTGTGCCCTTCCCTCAGGAAATTTTAATCTCGGCCCTTTGAAGGGGCACAGGACTTGGTCACATCTGTACCAAGAACGCAGGCTGCAGAGGTCCACAGGACCCTGTCCGCCGATGAGCTCCGGAGGACGGGCCTGCCCAGGTGAGTCCAGTGATGTGTACTACAGTCCTCTCTCGATTGTTGGGTAACTGAGATGTGCAAGAATTAGAAGGCTTAACAGATGCCAGGGCTGCCCTGGTAACTCACATCGGGGAGGTACCTCCCTCCTCCCCCCCGCCCCCCACCACTGGTAACACCGGTTACGTAAGGACGCTTGGTTTGTCAGTAGGAGACAAACATCCTGCAAGCTTCTTATGTAACCTTGAGCAATCTGCTGGAAACCTAGAGAGTCTAACTCTATCGCTTGAACAAAAACAGTTTACTTTTACCAAGCGAACCAAACCCAGCCTCCTCCTTCCCCAGTGAAAAGATGCTAAAATAGACTTTAAAAGGAGGAGAAGAAATAAAAAAGCTTTGCTTTCTCTTTAAACCCATGAACAATAGAAGGTCATGTGATACAGTAGCCTATCATCCAGCACATTAATAGCTGTGCTAGAGTAATTACACTTGTGGTATTTTTGCCTCAAGTGAAATTCTGAAATAAGAGGATGGAAATTATGATACTGCTGATAAATATTAATAAGTGAACTTTTAATTTTTTTGCCACAATATTCAAAATGCTAAGCATCCTGCTAATGCTGAAGCAGCCCGATGTGTTTGCCTCCAGGGAGTACGATGCTTTGTGCACTTAAGAAAAAAGTTTAACGGAATTAAAATTTAATATCTAATTAGAGCGAGGCTAATATATTTTGAAATGAGTGGGGGAGACATGTCCCTCTGCCACAGAGTCGGGGCAGCCGTTCATCTTACCTGTAAAGCTGCATTGAGAGGTGTACAGTAGGCGTGGCTGGTCTGCATGTTTTTAATAAGGGAAGGGTTACTGTGTAAGAGAAAGATAAAAACTCAAAGTTAAACACAATCACCCCCCGAGTTCTTTGCTAAGTCTTAAGCTTGCTGGTATCCTTCCAAATCAGAAACGTCTCCCAGTCCCCAACCCAAAGGAAAGTCGGGTTTCTCCCTGGCCCCTGGCTTCACTGGGGACTGGCCTGTGTGAACACCTCTGAGTTGGACAGACGCTGCCGTTCAAGCACATTTGGGGCAAAACTATGGACTGTGTAATAATTGGCTTGGGCACTTCCTTCGCGGCTGAATCTCTGTCAATTTGGAGCAGCCGCCCTGACTCCAGCAGGAAGGCTGATGCTCTGGGATGTCAGGGAGCTGACGGCAAGGTCTTCTGGGAGCGGGTGGGAGGAATCCTGGCTTTTAAGCTTCTTCAGGATTTGAGTTCCAGAATACATGCTGGAGGAATGGCAGAGTAGCTCTAAAGAAAAGTCTTCAAAGCTCATTTACTGCCAAAAGGAGAGGGGGGTACTCCAGGGAGGGTTGGTCAGCCAAGGTTGGGTTCAGGTCTTTCTGGCACAGCCAAATTTGTGAGGATACAAGAATAATTGGATGCTGTGTCCATTTACTGGCCAATTGAAGACAAGATTCTGTTGTAAGAACATCTCACGCCAGAAAGGATAAAAATACTTAAAAAAAAATCACACATAAGGATATGGGGGTGGCTTTGGGGAGGAAATTACCTACATTGATCCATGATCCTTAAAGGAAGTAGATGGACTGTTAACCAATTTCCTTCTATGCTTGGAGCACTTTTATCATTCATTTTACTACATTTATATTGTTATACAGAGTGAGCCAATAAAAAGAAATTTACCCCAGTAAATACACATTTTAACTCTACAGAAGAGTTTCCTTTTCACTTGGAGGAATTAGGGGTCACGCAAAAGCAGAGTTATAGGGGTCCCCGTAAAGCTGCTGAATCAAAAGACAACCGGTATTTGCATTAAAGACGTCAAAAAAGCATTATTCAGGGCACTGGTGTTCCAAAGGGAAACGAGAGAAATACATGTACAAATCACACAATTTAGTTCCATTGCAGAAAGCCGTGGCACTGCTACGTGGTGAAATGCAAAACTATTATGGGATGAGTCAACCATGCAAAGCCAAAGCAACAGCAGAAACAAAAAACAAAAGCAAGTAAAGGCTCTTACTGTGCGACAAGCTCGTCAAAGTTTTCATCGGGGCAGTATTTGCGAGGACGGCCTCGTTGAATATGGCGGCCACGTTTAAACTCTTCATCATCAACTGTCCAAAAGGACCCAAACTCATCCTCTACTCTGATAAAGCACTTATGCAGTGAGAGGTTGGTGCGAATGGCACCCTGGGATAGGAGCAGCGGCAAAGGAGATGGAGTGGCAACAAAAGGAGAGGCGGGGTTGGGGGCAGAACAGACATCCAATACAGGGGACAGGAGAAAGAAAATAAGATGCGATAAGCATAAGCCAATGGTTTGTGAGGGTTAATATGCATTGCCACCTAAAAGCTACCGGCATGTGATGCAACAGAGACCAGCAAGCAGGGCGGGGGGACTGGCGGGCATACAAAACAGGAGGGATGAAATGCTTTTTTGCTTCCCTTAACTGAGACAACGTGAAACCAGGTGTTTGGTCTAACACCATCTAGCAGCCAAAAGCCTCTACGTGACACTGGTTAGCGCAATCCAAGCTAGGCTAAGAAGTTCAAACATGGTGGACGTACCCACTGATCTTTTGTGGCCTTCGTTTTTGGAATTCTACTTCATCCACTGTCCATACTGCCCCTTTAACGTTTTCTACTCGCACAAAACACTTGTGAAGACTAAGATTATGACGCACTGCATTCTGCAGCAAGTATAAAAGAGAGAACATTTTCTATAAGAAAAAGACTCCAAAAACAGCAGTAAATTCAGCCTAACAGCCCACAGTTGTAAACCCATCCCCAAGAGCTGCAGCTCCCACCCCTAGGAGGACCCTCCTGTGATGAAGGGTGCCTCTTCCAAAAAGGAAAATCAAAATCCAAAATGATGAGTTACCTGTACTTTGGCATTTTAGCCTAATCTCTGGTAAGAGTTAACCAGAAGTATTTTTTAATATGTGTATTAGCCCCCAAACAGGTTTCACAGCCAAAATAGAAAAGTAATGTTGATATGACTTCAAAATCAGGAAACAAGTAAAGCATAAAACAGTCCCTTTTAAACCCACTCATCTCTCATACTAAAATATTAGCTCCCAAGTATGTTTCACAGCCAAAATAGAAAAGTAATGTTAATATGACTTCAAAATCAGGAAACAAGCTTAAAACTGTCACCTTTCAACACATTGTCTCTCATACTTTTGCTGCTGCTTTTTTATTCTTTGAAGTTTTGGCTTTGACACCTTTGACCCATTTTCTCAGATTTATTCGGAAGAAATGGACACTGGCTGTTTACCACTGAGAGTAACGCCTCCTGCATCTGACAGGATCAGAGGATGACACGACCCCCAGTGGATCAGCATCCGTTATCAAGCTATGCCTTACCTTCCCAAATATACAGAAGCTGGCCCTTACTGGGGGTAAGTGCTTTAGTTAACAGAGAAAATGCCAAAGGGAACCATGAGTAGAACTCTCAATGGCAAAATGAGAATGCTTTATTATTTGATGGCTTCTATTTTACATATAACTTTCTTAGGGTGAAAAGGAAATTCTGGTCACTGCTCAACTGAAACCCTTGACATCTGTAACCTACCAAAGGAGGAGCTCAACTGAAGGGTGAAGAGTTTTTAACATCTCACCTTTCCCGAGTTTCAGGAAATTCCACAACCCTTACCAGCTAAAGTAACAAGCACAGTTTCCTCTTCAGTTCTCCTGGTTGAACTTACTGACACTCAAAACTGGACATGAGGATATTTCAAAGAGACCCATGTCATTTACTCCCAGTTTTCTTCTTACAGGGAATAAGGTGACAATGTGGGCATAAGAAGAGGATACTAATACCACACTTCGCATCCCTCGTGAGTCCTTCACCACTTCCTCTCTCCCTGGTCCTTTCTAGGGGCAGATCTTGATCTGTTCTTTGAGAGGTGTTTCCATTTTTGGATAATCACCACTGGTGACTCTGTGAGGAGTCATGCTAAAGAAGGGTGATTTTTCTGGTCTGATAATGGAATATTTAGAAAGTAATGAGATAAATTTTATACATGGCATGATGAACTGCTCACAGGAAGAAGCCATAGAATAAATCCTCAAGGAGTTTCAGCATAACTGGGGTGGGTTCAAGACTTCCAGGTGACTATAAAAGGATACCCGTGATTCAGACAGGTTTGATAGGTTTCTATCAAACAACAATCTCTGAAAAATGTTTGGCATTATACTTGATAGGACAAATTTCTCCACATAGAGTCTTTAAAAAGCATTTTCTGTTTTATATTGCACAAAGGCAGAGATAACAGTAGACCCTTAGCATTCTTTATCTCCTAGAACAACACTGAAGTGCTTGAAATAAACCTAAGTTTCTTACCCTCCCCCCCCCCCAAAAAATCCAATCCAGAGGACATCTAGCTGGGAAGAGAAACCAGCATTTTGTCTCATCCTAATCATATCTACTGTTTTACAGTAGGCATCAAAATGTACAAAAGTGGAAAAGCCATGTCTGAAAAACAGGGCTGCTCTAAAGCTATCTAAATTGTACAGCCATATAAATTAAGAGGTAAGGGCAAAACTTAAGTTTCTGTTTTTGAAGACTGTACATCCAAGCACAAGCAACTGGAAATAGAGAATTTCCCCGAAGAGGTGAGTGAGCTCTTCCCAGTCATCACTTTTACCTGGCATTTTATCTTTTGTGTAAGATCACAGCACAAATAGGACATGGATTTCTGAATCACTAAATACTTGTTTATATGAATGGCACTTTTTCTGGCAGTTTACAGAAATGAAACAGTTAAATCTGAAGATATGAGCCTAAATATCACATTCAAAACTGGTAATTATTTTAAAATCTGATCATTTGCTATTTATAAAAGGTAATTAGAAGAAAATGTCTGCTTCATGTTTATACTTCCTAAATTCTGAAAAGCATACATAGCTGAAGATAGTTTTGTCTTTTCTATCTCAGGGCAGGCTGAAGAAGAGAAAGGAATATTTTGAACCAAGTTCCTTCAGTGCCTATGTGTCTTAATAGAAAAAAGGTACACTGGGTCATTATTCATAACTCTGTAAGTGTGAAGAATTCTGTGTTTGATTTCCTCCCATATAAAGTTAATAAGTAGCAAGGAAAACTTCTAATTCAAACAAAACATGTTTTATTTGCACCCTATAACAAACCCCTATCATCTTTATAATAAAACCATGTAAAATATTTGCATTTTAAATATTTCTAAATGTCTTAGAATTGGGGCATTGTAAGAATTCTAGATATTAAATATACAAATATAATTAATCTCCAATAGTACCTACCCCCTTTTCTATAGCAAAAATATTATTATTAAAACAGAAATTATAGTGAGGAAATCCAAAAATTGTTGAGGGCTTAATCTAATACAATGCAATCAATACTAACATAATCTATATACCAACAGTGGAACTTGGATTGAGGACTGTTGTGTGACCACAAGCCTTGCTGAGGGCCTTCCACTTGGAGCTATGGAATCTGACTTGTCTAGAGCAAATGCTGTCAGTCAAGTCATATATTTCATAATTACTTTTCTTACACACAGTTAATGAATATGACAGTTTCTTCACTTAAGAAACAGAACCTATATATATTTAGGGTTCTCCTGTAATAACTCCATATACTGTGCTAGTGCTTGGAGTGTACAGCCTTCTCCACTTACGTCACATTTACCTGATCACTTTTACATGTTACTAATGGCTAAAGAAAAAAGTTATCTATGCAGTCTCTACAGAAATACATGCTGATGGTGGCTGAAGACCTCAAGGCATGAGGTTTGTGTACAAAAGACCACCTCCTTTACATTCCAACCATAGAGAAACAGACAACTTTGGTCTATCTGATGCAAAAGTAAGGGAGTCTTCTTCCATCATCCTGGCATTTTTAACACCACAGTAATTATTTTCTCAATCCAATATTTCTACAAATTAAGACTCTCTGAATGTATCAAAACAATATTACTGTAACTTACAAGACCTGCATGTTACCAACAACACATTCTCTCCTGTAAACAGCAAGATCCAAGACTAAACAGACCTGCAACAAAGCTTACCTTCCACGTGGCAGCATTACGTCGGAAGTAAGCAAACATTCGTGTGAACCAGTTATAGATTTCATTTAGTGTTAGCTGCTTTTCTGGAGATTCGAGAATGGCCTGTGAAGCGAAAGTAACAGAAAAAGATAATTTATGACCAAATCAGCACAACTGTCATTATACGATTTTTGGAAAATAGAAAATAACTGTGATGCCGAGCTAAAGCCTGAGAAAGGTTTCACGAAATGATCTAAGATGAATGATTCTATTTACCAGTTCAATAGCAAAATTCAAAATGGGAGTTATCTAATTGTTTTGAGTTTTTATTTCTGTTTCCGTACAGAAATATTAATTTATTAGTCATTCATAAAGCAGAATCAAAGAGAAATGCAAAACATTTCACTAGCTGATTAAAGCTCAGTAATTATTTAGAGCTCAGATTAATTCTAGGGATCAGAGATTACTGTAGCTTGTGATAATTGACTTGCCATCTTTAAACAGGCTCATTTTCACTGTTGTGTGAAATGAATTTCGTAATAATCACATCGTATTGTAATACTTAATCAAAAGCAATTATGTTATATATTGCAGTTTTAAAAAACCTTATAGAAAAGGTTTTAGCATGCTTGCATACTAAACGGTTTTAAATCTACTTCATCAATATATCCATGTACACATATACCTTCTGATGCAGTTTCACAAACTGCATTGTTTACTTACCTGCCTAATTAAAGATGCATATGTAAATGGTGGTCTAACTTCTGCGTTCTTATAAAATTCTTGGTTCTGCGCAATATCTGCTAAATAAGAATCATTGTCCTATTAATTATCACTTTTGACAAACAGGCTGGTCAACAAGCATTGCTGATTTTGTAATCTATGTGAGGCACAATAGGAGGATCTACCTGAAGAGATGGGCACGTTGTATTTGTCTGAGTACCGCCTGCGGATGGGTCCCACCGTGTGCATGCTGGTGGTGGTGATGACGGAGGGGCCTTGGGTGACGGGAGTGATGGGGGCAGTGGGCGTCGTAGGAGTATGAGGTAAGCTCTGTGGAGAAGCCTCTGACGCAGACTTGGAGAGGGTGACACTGGATACCAGATTCAGCTGTGAGGAAAGGAACAATGCTTAGAAGAGCCACCGAGAATGCAACAAGACCCGGCAGGAATGACACAGGGAGGCCTGGCCAGTGTTAAGTCTCTAACTAGACGTTTATCAACAGGAGGGGACTTCCCATGTAAAAGCTGTTTGTTAAAATTTCTAGCATCCTTTCCTATGATTCTTTTTATTGTAGTTGATTTATAGGTACACAGCTAAGTGATTCAGATACACACACACATCCTTTTTCAGAATCTTTCCACATATAGGTTATTAAATATCTCTTGCAATGTTGTTCTTTCCTATTGCTGAGACAGTTTTTTTCCCAAAAACAGTTAACTAAGTATTTACAGACACAAAAGGAGTTACCTAGCCTGGTGAGTGTGAGAAATTCCGGGCCATGATGTTTCTTTAATCACAACTTCACACCCCTCTTTTATAGCCTACTATGCCTCGTAAACCTCGAAGAGGGAGATAGAGTCCTTGGAGCCCCACGAACACTGATGTTTCACGAAACACCAGTTGAGATGATACAATGGTATCGACCTGAGCTCTGGGACAAGCCTTTCTGAATTGGCCTAGCACGACAGAGAAACTATTTTTACTTACTCTCAATAAAAATAAAAATTTTATTTGAACAGCCACATGCTGCCAGTGGCTACACCACACTGGGACAGGCTCACTCAACTCCATGATGAAACTTCAGGGATGGGAACTACTGCAGAAAGGCCTGGCCCATGACCTGTTAAAAAGAGTGGAACCAATCCACTAAACACTCATTTTAGCTCCATCCGTTGGCAGAGACTCCTCTTTGAAAGCTTTATGTGTCATCTTCCTTAAACTCTATCCAATACAGGATTGGAATCTATTCATTTAAAACAAACATGGCATAGGAGAGATCTGGAACTATAAAAAATAAAATCTCATTTTTTTTCCTTCTAGTTTCAAATGTGTAGTAACAAAATGGAGTAATCCAGTGCTTCAGGTACAGAAATACCTACTAGTTATTCGGGGTAGCGTGGGGGAAAACGAACGAGTCCTGTTTCGGGCCTTCCTTCCTATTACCTGTTTTGCCTTTGCCTTGAAGTGTTTCTCTTAATAACATTGGAAATACAAGCCTGCTCCCCCCCAACCCCCTTCCAAAAATCTGTTGCTATTGAAACACTGTATCTGGCTCCCACTGAAGAACTTGGTTGTTTTCAACACAGTTCTTACAGTTTACCCAGAAGTGCTCTCTCAGAAACCTGCAGCTACCTACCTCCAATCCTAGAGTTTAGCAGAGCAGGATTACTTGGTGTAAAAGTGAGGCAGGAGCCTGTGGTCCTCACCCCCATCCCCTGTGGGAAAACCTTAGCCAAGGAATAAGCTTAACCAGAGAAGTGAGGACACACAGCAGGGACAGAGGAGAACAGAGACTGCACAGTGACACTGCAGTCCCCAAGCACGGTCACAGACCTTTAGTTCCCTCGCGAGGGCTACAGGGAACAGTCTGAGCCACAGCCTGCAAGCTGTTTTGCAGACACTGAAATCCCCTCCAAGAAGGAGAAGTTAACTCCATGATGATCAGAATGTAGCCATGACAGAAGCTGCCACAATCCCAAGAAATGACCTCAAGGAATTGGGAACTGATCGACCCTGGACATGAAGGTTAACTGCTGAGAACAATCAAGATGACACTGGTCAGACCACCGATGACCAACTTCAAGATGACTGTCGGAGCTGACTGTGCTGTTTCTGCATGGAGCCCCCTCCGTCTGTCTATAAAAGCTCGTGCCCCCTGATTATCAGTGGAGGGAGTTGGCCTTTGGACAGGCACCTCCCCGACTCCCCACTGCTGACATCCAAAATAAAGCAAACTTCCCTTTCCACCCGCCTGGCCAATTTACTGGCTTTTGAGTGGTGAGCAGCTAGACCTGGGTTCACTAAGAGTATCAAAATCTGCCTGAAACCAAATTTTGAATCACTTTACAAATTAAGTCTGTTTCACCACTGCAAGAGTCCTAAATTGAAAGCATTATTTGTAGAAACTATTAAAAATTAGATTCCTCTGAGATCTAATCAAAGAACAGATTAAAAACTGAGTTCCAATTTGTTAGGAAGACTCAATCTTTCTCATGCCCTAGTAATGAGAAATATCAAGTACTGTTGAGGAAATACTGACAGAAAAGGATAAACATGGTGCTGGAAACTGAATGCTGGGTGCAGGCTTTGGGTTGGGTCTTCCTGTTTATTCCTCCCTTGAAATGCTGACTCAGCCAACATCAGACGCACCCCTCCCAGCTCCACCCAGTTCCTACCCCAGGCTCCCCCATACCTGGTAAAGGCAAGCTATGGAGATGGCACCATCCTTAGGAATCCCCTGGCAAGCTGGCCAGATGCTGGGAGCTCTTTTTCACCAATGCTGGAAACTTCAGGACACACATTTGCAGACTAAGTGCTCAAAGTCTGTGGAGCACTCGCAGGATGCAACGGGATCAGGGGTCACGGGGGAAGGCTGGGGTGACCACCCCGGCACCTTGGGCCCCACTCACTGACCAAGCAGAGGAACAGTGTATCTAAACATCCATCAGCCCAAGCAACCGGTCTAATGCTCTTGAATACACAACTTGTAAAAATCAGATGCTGTTAGGCCTAAGCGTATCAGAATGCCCAGGACAGTCATGGGTGCCATTTGTAAAAACACTGTTGTAAACCCCTTGCCACTGCCTGCTTTCATATTCTCATATTATCTCTCTCACTGCCTGGTTTTAAATTCTCATATCATCACGAATACTTGAGACGCTATACTTGTATTTTACAGAGAAGCAGACAGGGGCTCATCAGAGATTCAATAACTTGCCCATATTCACAATCTGGACTCAAAACCAAATACACACTTGTGATTCTAGGCCCTTTGTATAATATTCTCCTTCTGCCCAGATAATGGGAAAAATAAACACTAACCAGGTTCCTTTTTCTACATGTTCATTTCTGGAAAGGACCTGGGGATTAGCTTTTATCCCTGCTTATAAATGGCATTCAATAAATATTTCCGAGCAGACGACGGCAATGGAAACTGCAATGACCAAAACAGGGACAACGCAGATGACTGCTGCCCTTGGAGGGCTTACCATCAAATACAGACACCGATGGAAGGAAAACAGGCATAACCATCATAAAACAATTCCGAGAACCCACTCTGCTTTTTGGCTTCTCAGTTGAAGAACATTACCCTAAACACCACAGTGCTCTTTAAAAGGTAATGAAAATGATAATACAAATACAACGTCCTCAAGAAATATGCACGGTCCTTTCCAGTTCTGTGAGGAAGATCATCAAGTCCACTGGGTTCTAGTTCACTGCCAAAAGCCCAAACTCACGGAAACATTCCGCAAGTGCAGGCCCATCTTTTGGGAGCTCACCTACAAGAACAGACAAGCCCCACAATATGGGTACGAAGTCATAAAACGCGAAAAGAATGTCATTCTTGCAGCTCTGGCAGAGGTCTTAAGACTTGGACTGTTTCTACCCCAAAAGCAACAGTGAAACAGAAAATCTCTCCCATCTCTCCCGGTTAGCACAATCCCTGACAACAGAGAGGCAGCTGAATTTTCTGGAGACTGTGAAACACAGGTAACCAGGGGAAATCAACACCAAGCCAGGGGAGAGCAGAGAGGGGATTTTTACCGGGCTTGACAAATGACACCGTGGTTCACACCCACCGCTGGGCTGTCTCTAATAAGCCACAGAGGAAGCAGCCAATCTCAGCTAATTACCAGATAAAAATGTATTGTAAGGACTCTCATTAGGAGATGTGGATGGCGGTGATCTAATGATTAAATGCTGCATTCAACTGACCCACCATCAAATCACACTGGTGCAAGGCGTCACAGGGATATTTTGTAGAAACAGTGACTTTATTTAGAGGAGGGGAGGCAGTGATATTTGTAATGATGGCTATGAGGTAAACTAATTAAAAGACAGTTCGGAGAGGAAAAGGGTGGCTGAGAGCAGCTGTGGCCGTTCCAGAACCAAGTGCCAAGTCTCCATAGAGGAACTGCAGTCAAGTGGAAAATTTCTGCCTGACCTCTGCCCCTGCTATTAATTTGCAGGGAAACTAATGACACATATACATATTCCCACAAAATTGTTCTAATTGCTAATTTGCCAAAGGAGCCCTGATTCCAAATTACACACGACTGTAGCCTGTGAGGGAAGGAAGAACAAAAAGCTGTAAACTCCAAATACAGGGGGCTTCGCCTCGTGCAATCAGCTGAAGGCTGAACCAACAAGGTAATGGAATGTCAACCTTGTCAAATGTGATCGAGGTTTCTTAACTTGTAAACTCGGGCTGCATGATCACATGCTGGCCTCGAGGAGCAACCATCCTGGGCAGGAAGGTCGCTAGGGGGTGAGAAGGTGGAGCCGGGGGGACGCTTCAAGACAGGTCTGTGTTCAAACCAAACCTGCTCCTTTATCTAAGGACACTCTGGGAGAAAAAGGACCCCTCCCCCCACCCACCCCCACCCCAAATTAATTACAGACTTAGAAGAACAAACTGGGAACAGTGAGAGCTGTGCTGTAATCTTGAAAGATTCATCTGAATTGTAAACTATTAAAGCTTAAAACAGTCATCAATTAAAAATGAAAGCACAAGTGCTTCGTTCTGACTGTAGCTCAGGTTGGAAGAGAATTTTTTCTCGGGGCCTAGAGCAGGAAGGGATGGGACTTGGGAGGGTTTCTTTTCCTATTTTTCAGATTGTGTTCATTTTCTATTTAAAAAGAAGTTGCTATGTTTAGAAAAGTTAGTAACTCTGATATTTTCTACATGGCGAGTTTCCATCATGTGATGATTTCGGCAAAGATAATCTCTGAAACGCCGGCCAAAAGCTGAATTCTTATGTCACTTCAGATTGTCGTAGGGTTTTCTTTTATTTTTTAATTTCTGTCCACTCTCAGCTATCAGTTTTTCTCCCAGGTCAGTTCCAGGGGAACTCTCCTGGAAATCTCACCCATCCAAACTACTGGAA